CATAGTCGACACCAATAGTCTTGCCATCCAGTTTAAGTGGCGGCTGTAGGCCCTGGAGGATAGTTAGCAGCTGTGACGCTTCCTGCAAAACACAAACAACATCAGCAGAAGGTGATTAAAAAGTCTGCAGGTTTAACGTTAGTGATTTTGCACTTGTTCAAGATCAGCTTTGATATAAAATACATTTCAAGAGATTACACTTAGCTGATGATTGATTATAAAGCTTGTTTGGAATTCTGTCCCAGGAGAGCCCTGAGCTCTTAAGACCCTCGTGCCCGGGGCTCCCTCCCATTTGCGAGGTAAGAGGAGAGTTTAAACTCTAACTCGATCTTAACTTGATCTCAAGAACTCCCCTGCTGTAGTAGCTAATGAACAGATAGCGATTGCTCTTAAGAGATAACTACTTACTAGGAGCATGTCTATGGTGCTGATTTGAATTAGTCAACTAATTTAAGTTGCATGTTTTTGGACGGTGGGAGGAAACCTGGGGAACCCAGGGAAAACCCACATAAGCACAGGGAGAACATGTAAACTCTGCACAAAAACAGAAACTTTAGCTGGCTTGGTAAGAACTAGAACCAGTGACGTTCTTACTGTGAGTCAACAGTGCTAACCACTGGGCCACCGTGCCACCCATCTAGAAAAGGAGGATTCTTCAAAACGAAGATGGCTGTGATATGGAACTTAGGGTATTTGTAGCGGCTTAGAAATCGTATGATTGGTGAATCATAAATTAAATAATGCGGAACCAGCTGCAAGCAATCATAAGCATGTGATCTTCTCGAAATTAGTTTATAAATAAACTTCACTTAGAAACAAGAACAAATGGGTACCAGAGGAGAAGCGAGTTGGACAAAGGCAAATCCTCTGTTTTGGCCTGTCTGTTTGTCTTTGATGAGGCGGATGTTGCCAGGCAAGAGGTTTGCAAAAGGAGCAAGAGCCCCCAGAATGGCTTCAACAGTAGAGAGAGGAGCGATGTTCCTCAAGATGATGGCTGGCAAAAAAATGGAAACAGTGTTATCCTCACTTCTCCACAATTGACAAACTGTTACTTTAACCCTCTATGCTTCATTACTTTAGCAAACACTTAACTAGGGTTTTCAAATTTGAATATACATAAAATGTGAATGAGCATAACATAAAGGCCCTACATTTTACCCGCATCATTTTATTTCTTTAATAATTGTTTTTCATCTGCATTGGAAACATTGTACGAACAGGATTATGTGTAGGAAATTTAACCTAATATGATCATGATCTTTATCAGTCTAAAAAACACTTTTGGACAGCTAACATTAGAGATGATATTCATTTGTGCATCCTTGTAATTTATTAATGCAACCCAATTTGGTGGCGATGTTTTGTGGAAAAACTCTTACTATCGCCATAGTAATCTCCACTTGGCTGGGTTTCTGTGGTTCCTGTGGTGCTGCTGGATTCAGAATCTAAAAATAAACACAAGAACAAAAGTGCATTGAGCTTCTTTAAACACTGAAGCCAGTTACAAACTGTATTACTAAAAGCGCCCCATATTAAAATTCCTACAATCAGAACATTTTCACCATTGATTGGATATCATAAAACACTAATATATGGAGTACAGTGTTCATTATATTGGATGCCTTATCTAATACTACCTGGATAACTACTTCTGTGGTTGTTTACCTACTACTAAATGTAGCCATAACTTAATTTACCAGTATATTATACAATATATGTATATATTAGCGATTATGAGCAATAAAAACAATCCTTCACTATCATATATTTGTAAACAAAACAGGGTAGATGATAACATCTCCACATCTTATTAGTTAAAAAATGCTCCATGGCCATGAGTGTGTTTGACTGGATCATCCGGATGGGTGCAGACAGCGGTTTCCTGCTCAGGAGCTACTTACCCGCTTTAGCTGCGCCACACCTGAAGCACTTCAGCCTCCTCCGGAAATTGTACAGGCCACACTGCAAGCAACCGGTCATAGTGTTTTAATTGACACTTCAGCTTTGGGGCACCAGGTTACAAGCACACTACAGTGGCTTGAACACTTACCGTGATGAGTGGACCATATGAAAAACTGAGATGCCACAATTACACTACAAGCATAACTAACTTTTTTTCCAAACAAAATTGGCAAGGGATGTTTCTGAGCAGACTTTTAAAAATGTACAAGTTTCTGGAAATAATCCTCTAGATCAGGGGTGCCCAATCCTGTTCCTGGAGATCTACCTTACTGCTGAGTTCAGCTCCAACCTTGATCAAATGCACATGGCTTTAATCACTAAGTGCTCCTTCTGATCCTACTTTAGCCATGTCCATATGTACAAGGGTATTTTTAAAAACATGCTTTAATTTTTTTCCGTTAAATCTCCATCCTCATGAAAACGCAAAAACGAATTGCAATGCACGTTAAGGACATGCCAAACCAACAGGGGGCGATAATGACACTTAGGCTGGGTTCATAAGTGGGGAATTAAGTAAATTGCATACAAATCAATGCAAACATAGAATAGAGGCGAATTACCATCCTACGGCTGGAATGACAAAATATGGAATGCGTTTGCCGCGAACGTGTGAAATTCTGCCGCATTTCATTGAACCCAGACATGTTGGCCAATCAGAAAGGAGGAAATAGCACTTTTGCTGATGTCATGAGGCTAAAGTGTCCATACGACTACACTGTGCCCAGAGTTTTGGAAAATCTTCACCCTGGCTGGAGTTTTTAGAAAGTTTCATTTTCAGTTAGCTGACACTTCGTTTTCATGGAGACAAACGGTGAAACCACGTAGAAAAAAAAATTGCGGTTTTGAAAATATTCGTGTGGACAGGGTCTTAGTTGGTTTAGTTGTTTTTGATCAAGGTTGGAGCTGGACCAGGGTTTCTGCTGGTTTCAAGTAGTCAAACATAAGACTTTAAGACCCTTCAAAGACCATTAAGAACAAAATTTTAGACTTATACAGGGTTAAATGCTAAGGATTTTTTTCAAACGGCCTGGTATTATCATGAGGAATCGTTTAATCGTTTTTTTCCCCCTGAATTAAATTTAAGATAATTTATGACTTTAAGACCCAGCAGACACCCTGTGAACTCTGCAGGAAGGAAGATCTCCAAGAATAGAATTGGCCACCCCGGTTCTACATTAACCATATTTAAAATGCATTATCAGCATTATTTACTATGTTCACAGAAAGTGTTAAACTTTCTACACAAATAAACATATCCTATATACATAAACAATGGTTATAATTTGAAATAAAATGTTTGAAGTTTCTCTTGTTGACCACCAAAGCTACATTTCAATTAATAAAGATATAGTAAAACAGTAATAATGAAATATAAACATATTAGTTGAAAACGTAATATTTGTGTGCAAATCATGTTAACTTCAGGATTCTTTTAATTTTACAAACTTTGAGATCAAAAATTATTTTTATAAAATTTCTGATAATAAATATTTATTTTTTATTTCTAAACAAAATCATTGACCATGAAATTAATAAAGAGCCAGGGAATCCCATGTAACTTACTGAGTTGCAGAGCCAATCCTCAAACTTGTGACGGTTGTTGCTGTAGTGCACGACAACAGGCTTGCCTTGAACGCACAGCAGTTTCTGGAAAAGGAAGAAAATATTTGGTTATTTCCCCTCTTGTGACGTTCTTATCTTAGCCCAAGAACAACCACATTAGCCACGAGGGTTTAGGGTGAGGATCGCCCGGGAGGGTTTAACGTGTAAGATGGTGTGTGTTTGGGACCCGAGTGTCCGGATGGGGCCGGAACAGAGTGTAAAAAAAAAAGGCACTCCTTTCTTAAATGGGATGGGGGGACTTGAGACGGAAGCATTTACTTTCTCGGCACAAAACATTTTGCTACTATAATGAAAAAACCTAATGCTGAGGTCCATTAACTGGGATGTTATATATAGCACCACACTTCACGACTACCTGAACAAACTAACATCACTTAAAAGAAAACACACATTTTCATAAAATTGCATTTACAGTTTGTGGCTTAAAACCCATTTGAATTAATTAAATCACACCATTAGAGGTGTATTACTTATTTCCCCTCTTTAAAAAGATTAAATCATCTGGGCTAACAAACAGTTAATAACATGAAGCCAGAGTGTCCATCAAATGGCTCTTCTAAGTTTTGGTCACAACACCTTGCCTTCAAAGACAGAGGATCTGGTCCATTTCAGTCCATATAATGTGCTGGGGCAGCAACTTTTGCATTTTTTTTTCCTTTTCTACTGAAATTGCATTATCCCCCAGGGCAAAAGCTAGACTTGGTGATTAGGAAGCAACCTGATTGGTCTCCATCCATCGGGTAGCAGCTTGCAAGTGATAAAACTCCACGAAGGCGAAACCTCGGCTTATACCTAGAGAGGCATTCAGATATACAGACGGGAGGCGTGTTAGTTTAAATGGTTCAGTTGTACAACATTCAAACTCTGTCACAAACTGCTTCGTGACCTCCTTGACCCAGAGAGGCCAAAGAGATGTAGGGGGTTGCCTGGAAACTTTTTACCATAGCAACAGCACCTTTGCATAATCTAGCTAATCGATCTTACTGTGCTGAAGCAGGTTGAAACAATAATCAAAAGCAGACAGTCATAAACAAGTGGATAACCTTTGAGAAATATAACTGGCTTGAATGATATTTAACAAGTTTGTACGGAAGATATAGAAGCTACATAACTGCATGTAACTTCAATTGGCATGAATAAAGCTGTGCCAATTTTGAGACACTCAAAACCTCAACAGAAACTTACCTCCAAGTTTGTACCTAAAGTGAAACAAATGTCCTAACTCAATAGTCTGAAAGGGTGAAGCTAGTCAGATAACATGTTGCTATGGCAAAAGGCATTTGAGGGGAAGCAGGTTGGCCCAGTGGACACAGGTTTGTTTGCTTGCAAGCGAAAGGATTCGCGGTACATCAATCTCACCTGTTCTCTTTTTCATCAGCCTCACGTCCATTGGCTTGGGTCCTTCCAGCAAGTCAATGGCTGCTCGAATCTGTGAATCATAATGGAAAGTCAGATTTGTTAGGATAAAGTTCAGGATAAAATATGAAGTTACTAACTATTCATAGCTATTGACTATCAACACCACTTTAGCAATTTTCTCGACCCTGACATTTTTATGAAGTTAAAATGCAATATTTGTGGGTGCATTCAAAATATACTTTAATTTAACATACTTAATTATATTATTAAATATAGTTATTGCATTTTTACTATGCAGTCACTTAATCACTAATATTTTAAATCGACTATTGTAATTTACACCCCCAGCATAAATACCACGAAAGTCCTTCCTGTATATATATATATATATATGTCAAAAATTATGTTTTGAATGTCATTTTTTAAAAAAGGTTGACCTATTTAAACAACTATTTTAAAAGTCATGTTCAAAGAACTTCAATACAATAAGTTGATTTCAATCCTGGCAATATTAGGGTTTCTGAATTATTAATCAAATGCATCATTTGTCATAGTTCAGGTATAAGATTGAAATTGAAGATTTTTAAATTAAGAATTTCTTAGTTTTTTTTTTGTTTTAAAGTACCACTGTACAATTGTTGAAATAACACCACAGGGCTCAAAATTGCGACCATGTTGGTCGCATATGTGCCCCAAATTTTATCTATGCAATCTCAAAATATATTTGGGAGCATTTGTTTATGCTGCAAAATGTTCACCATATGCGCGGATTCGGGAGAAATTCATGCAGAATGCATCTTTGAAGTTGAAACGTGAAACGCAGTGCTTGGGAATGGTTTAAAACAGTTGTCATGTCAACTAAAAGCCAAGTTCGTAATGCTTTTTCCGCCTTCGCGCTCTTCTTATTGGCCCACTGCTCTAGAACTGAACGCGAATGGATTGTTTAATATCAGCTGTCAATCACAATCACTAAGTCAATGCCTCCATCTGGATTGGGATGACAGAGAGAGCTACTACTGCAAAAATGTAAAGCGCTGAAAATGAGAATGAAAATAACACTGACAGATTTTGTTTTAGAAACCATGGCATCTAAAGTTATAAATAATGACACATCTTAGTAGTGATCATGTGCGGAATGTTAATCCACCATCTACACTTTTCCAAGAGTGGATAGAAGACTTCCGTTGTCTCAAGTCCGCTATGAAAAGTCTGTGGGATGGACTTTTCAGGTAACTTTTTGCCACATCTAGCACGAGAGCTTCTGTTTAATTTCTAAGTTTGTTTGCAAGTACTTTCCAGGCCTTAAATTCATGTCTAAAAATCAAGCACTTTCAAAAAGCGCGGGAACCCTGATTATGAGTCAGGAATGTTATTTATAAAACAATAACTGCTAATTACACTGACTATTATACACATGTGTGAAAAAAAAACTATTATATTTGACTAATAATATAACTATTATTCATCAATAATACTATTAATAATTAATATTACTATTGTACTCACTGCAAAATTTATACTATAGGTGCTTTTAAATCCAGTCTTGAAATATTGATTCAAAAAGTAAATATTGTTATTGTTAAACTCACAGCAGAAAATGATCAAATTTAGAAATTGACAATATTTAATTGATTCAGGGTACAAAATTAAACAATAATCATTTTTTATTGTTATTATAACAACTATTATTATTTATATTAACTGGAGATATTTCCATTAGAATATTTTTATTAATTCCTGCCTAGTAAAGGTATAAAATTAATTAACTACAGATAATTCTATTAGAAGTCACATCATTTTAAAAATATTTCCATCCAGTGAAAAAAACATATCCTAATATTAAGGTTTGCCAATAATGTGACAATGTAAACACTGTATTTGAACGTAAAAAAGACATCTTACATCCGCCTCTGACGTGTTCATGGGCAGACCCCGGAGCATGATGGTCTTGCTCTCCTTTTCATCGGCTGGATCTCCTCTGTAATCGTGCTCAGAGTAATCACCATCTGAATGATGTCCGTCCTCTGATCCATCACTGTTGCGCCGCTTCCTCCCTCGCTGTTACATAAGGTCAGAATTATTCTTTTTTTTTATACCATTCTGTCAAAGTCTGTTGTGTGAGACTGATAACGGCAGCCAGAAGAACAAAATCAAGTCTTGCCCATAGATGATGTATTACAAACGCCTCGCACAAGCAGCAATTTGTTTTTTAAATTTAATGCAAAGACGATATAATACATGCATAAATACAAATAAATGTTCAAACTTGAAAAAAAAAAAAAACTAAATATTAAAAACGTTCAAGGATTTTAGATGCTGATGCATCATAACAGCCTAGTGAAAAGGGTCTATGAACACAACCAGGTATTCTCACCTCAGGACTGTCTCTGCTCCAGTATCGATCACCTCTGTCGCCTCGATCACCTCGGTCGCCTCGATCACCTCTATCACCATCATAACGGTCACTGCGGCGGTCATCACTCCAGCGATGAGAGTCATATCCGCGATCATCTCGATCTCGCCGATCCCTTCGGTCATCATCGCGAGACTGTTCAGAGCCATACCTGCCGCTGCGCTCTGTACGGCTAACCCTAGTCATGACAATGTTATGTGATAATCAAATTAGCCAAAGTATATTATTCAAATTAGTAAGTATATTAACCTCTAAAGGCTGATTTATACTTCTGCGTCAAGCGCACACGAATGCTAAAGCGCAGCCGACGCGTTGACGCATAGCCCTACGCCGTGGCCGTCGGCTTCGCTGACGCGCACCTTTAAAAATGTAACTACATGTCGCTCCGACGCGTGGCGCAAGCTCTGTGATTGGTCTGCTTGGTACCGCTGACGAGTCTGGGCGGCACCGAGAGCCACGCAAGCCTGATGGAGCGATTGTTTACAAGTGTGGAGACCCGTGAAGGAGCTCCGGATGGAAAGTTATGTTTTGTGTTTACCTCATGGTTAAAGTTGTTGCACGTCCGCGGGTTCCTGCCTCAAAATGAATGAGTTTGAGCCACTTGTACATGTACAACAGGAAGCGTTCAGATAAAACAAAATACCAGCAAAGAAACTCGACACAGAGGAACATTAACACCTCACTGCCAACTAGAGTTTCGGAAGTGTTAATGGAGACCAACAGAGACAGCGGCAGAAGTATAAATGCACGGCTACACGCGTTGCATGCGCCGTGGGTTACGCCGGTCACTTGAAGCAGAAGTATAAAGCAGGCTTAAGGCTGTGCAATATGATGATATAAATCGTATAGAAAATAAAGAAGCCTATCTTTTTTTTATTTGCTCAATCATTTATGTTGTTTAATACTTATTTAATCATTTGTATGCATGCACTTTTACACAACAATACAGGGACAAAGAAACATGAATAACACTGTGAAAACATTTAATTTTTACATTTTATTTAACAACATTTTTTACACATGTGTTAAATATATTAATTAAATATATAAAATAACACTGATTGAAACAACATAAAAGGTACAAAATCATGATATAAATATAAGCCCTAAAAACTCAATCAATCATAAATCACTTACCGTTTATCTGCACCCATATTTATTTCCCAATGCAAGGCCTGTTGAAATAATATAGAACATTAGTCTGTTGCACATATCACAACGGTTATATGAAATAACTGTCTTGGGCAAATTAGATTTACAATTGCACCTTTTATAGTAATTATTTTCACATACACTCACAAATAATAGAATTGTTTGTGACCTAAAATAGTATAAACATCTGGTGAGATCTCAGTAATATTAGAAAACTGAATATGTATTAGAATGCACATTTTACATTCCATATACCCTTACATTTTATACACTTCTTGATTTTTTTCTAGTTATTTCCAAATTTAACATTACATTGGTTTGGAATCCTTTTAGCAGGACTATCTTACATTAGCTTGTTAGAATGCTCAGCCAATTTTCCTATTCGGCACTGTATAACATTATGTAACACAAACAAACCAGATTTACACAAACATCTCTTTAAACTGCTTATCATACGAACTATTACTGTAAAAGATTAATGTTTTTCTAAGAAATTTTTAACGTGTAACGTTGTAACAAAATGTAACGTTGCTCATTTATTTATGATACAATACATTTAGGAACATTTACTGTTGACACCCTGTTTTATAGACATATTCGTTTTGGCATATTAAAATACACTAAATTACTTTTAAAACAACCTAGTACTGGAATGCATTTTACAAGGTGTTAAGTAAACGTACTTTACCAAGATAGAGATCGATATAGTATAGTGTTAATGTTACATAAATTACTGTTCTGGACACACGTAATGTTCAATGAACACGTTTAATAACACAGCACAATAGCGCAATTGTACTTTATTTCGTGTGGTCTCCATTTAGAAGTTCACTAAGCTACAGGAAGGCATCAAAATGGAGACCGCGTCGTCGGTTTGCAGTTTAAAAAGGCGCAAAACACGCAGCAACACAACGAAAACTTACCAGATATATTTCAACGCAACGTTGAAAATAAATGTTTCTCAACTACTGAGAAACGTAAAGACAGCCAAAGGATCCCTTCTCGCCGAAAGATCACACTCTTCGTCAGGTCATTCGATGTCATCTGCGGCTAAAATGGTCTACAAGCTTCTCCTTCCCAGAATCCACTGAAACGCGATGGCGTGTTGTTACTGTTGCACGATGGGAAATGCAGTTTACTGCAACAGTTCCTGTCTAAACGACTGATTTATGTTACGTAAGTTACATGTTGGACTCATTATTTTACACTAACATTAATTAAATTATTTTAATACATTTCAAAATTCTTTTGTTTCTCTAAATCTTGCTTATTATTCTGAAAAAAGGTATTCATTTCATAGTCATCATGCTTTAATTATTTGAATCTGGATTGATTATTAACAGGTTTGTTTATTTTTTAATGCATTTATTCATTTATTTTAATCCAATCGTTTATTATTTTATTCTTAAATATAGAAAATGTCTGAATAAATTTTTGCATTTGAAATAACGAAAAAATATTACTGTAGGCCTATGTTCAAAAACAATATTCATTCATTTTCTTTTCGGACTAGTCTCTTTATTAATCTGGGGTCACCATAGCGCAGGGGTGGCCAACCCTGTTTCTGGAGAGCCACTTTTCTGCAGATTTCAGTTGCTACCCATATCAAACACACCTGAACCAATTAAGTAGGACCTGAACACCACGTGATAATTACAGACAGGTGTGTTTAATATAGGTTGCAACTGAAATCTGCAGGAATGTGGCTCTCCAGAAACAGGGGCTGCGTCTGAAACCGCATACTTCCATACTATATAAAACGCTAAAATATGTTAGTATGCGAGCCGAGTAGTATGTCCGAATTCATTGAATTCAAAAATCAGTATGCGAGAAGTACCCGGATGACTTACTACTTCCGGCGAGATTCTAGAGTGCGCATTCCATGCATGCTGTGCTATCCCATGATGTCCCGCAAGCGAGTTCATGAATGGGAGTAAAGCGACGCAATTGACGCAGGTAGGTCACGTGACCATGACAAAATGGCGGATGTAGTACATGCGAATTCCATTAATACTTTTCACGTTTATACAGAACGTACTTTTCTAACGGCCGAGTAGTTCGTTTAAATTCAAATGCAGTACCTACTGAGTAGTAGGCGGTTTCGGACGCAGCCAGGGTTGGCCACCCCTGCCATAGCGGAACGAACCGCCAACTTATCCGGCATGTTTTACGTAGCGAATGCCCTTTCATCCACAACCCAACACCCATATACTCTTACATTCACACACATACACTACTGACAATTAAGCTTACCCAGTTCATCTGAACCACATCTTTGGACTGTGAAGGAAACCCACAAAAACAAGGTGAGAACATGCAAACTCCACACAGAAATGCCAACATGACCAAAAGGACAAGATCTCGGATACAAGCGGTCAAAATGAGTTTCCTTCAAAGGGTGGCAGGGCGCACCTTTATACATAGGGTAAGAGAGCTCTGATACCTGGGAGGAGCTCAGAGTAGAGCCGCTGCTCATCCACATTGAGAGAAGTTAGATAAGGTGGCTCATGCATCTGTTTCGGATGCCTCCTGGGCGCCTACCTAGGAAGGGTTTCCTGGCATGTCCCACCAGAAGGAGGCCTTAGGACATGCTTGAGGGAATTTGCCTCTCAGCTGGCTTAGGAATGCCTCGGGGTCCCCAGGAGGAGTGTCTGGGGAGAGGGAAGTCTGGGGTTCTCTCCTGGGACTGCTGCCCCATTGAGGTAAAGTTGGTTTTATATTCGGACATTTGCAGTGAAAGATACTGAAAAATCATACTCAAGTAAAAGTACCATTACTTCCATAAAAATGTAGTGCAAGTAGAGTAAAAGTTTCTGTTGTAAATATTGCTCAGAGTATGAGTAAACGTAGACCATTTAAAAGTACTCAAGAGTAGTGAGTATTACACTGTTAAATGCTGATATGTTTACGTCATAGTAGTAACGTCCACAAAACATCAAGCTGAAACATCATCAGACGTTGATTTTTGGTTGGTTTTATGTTGGACGCTGGATATTGACTTTGACTTGACTTTGAGTTCTCAAACTGAATTTCATTTCCAAAAAAAAAATGCAACGTCCAAAGAGGTTAAAAGGGAGTTTGGTAAACTTTTAGGATACGACATACCAATGCACCCAGTATGTTTTTTGCTTGATGGCTTCCCACCTGAGGACAGTGAGTATCACCTATTTGACTTGATTTTGATATAATATTAATAACAGCTAAGAAGATAATTACAGTGAACTGGATGAAGACCTTCTGACCTACTTTGACTGAATAGACACAGAGGCTGAAACAGATATATATGAGCAATATCACACTCGTCTCGTAGCAGTGCGATATGGCTGTATAACGGCACTGGTGGGAGGCGTGCGTTGGCACGAGGCCGCAGACCGAGTGCCTTAGTGCCCCCACCAGTGCCGATATACAGCTATATCGCACTGCTACGAGTGTAATATTGCGTTTATACCACAGTTTGATGGCATAAGTGTGTATATAAAAACAAAATCAAACATGGAGAGTCTCAAAAACCCTTTTGTATGAGGAACTACTTTCTTCCGGATTCAAATCATAAGCTTACAGTTAAACAGCTGAGCGTGCATCTTTTAAACTTTAGATCTGTAGTGTCTGCTTTTTGCTGGCTGTATGTGGGCGGAGTAATACACAAAGGGTAAAGAGGCTGTAGGAGTTCTGATATTGCAGAATATCGCACGGCTTTCAGCCAATCAGATTTGAGAACCAGACAGAACTATAGAATATATATATATATATATATATATATATATATATATATATATATATATATATATATATATATATATTCTGTCAAAGTAGGTTGTGTATGTGTATATATATATATATATATATATATATATATATATATATATATATATATATATATATATATATATATATATATATATGAATGAGAAAATGACTGCAGATTTGCAGTTGAAATCAGACTTTTTCCAACAGACCTGAGCATTAATCGAAACATACTTACTTGATCTTTAAAAGTCTGTCAGGGGATTTGTCTTTGTCATAGTTATTGCATTTATATTGGAGTTTATTAATTAATTAATTAATTAATTTATTTATTTATTTATCTATTTTTCTTTTTCTCCCTTTTTTAAGCTGTCTCTATTATTTATTTATTATTATAATTTCTATCAATTATTACTTTCTATCTATTTGTTTCTTTTTTGTGTGATTGTAAACATTTTAAGTAATCGTTATTTGTATGCTATGTTTAAAAAACACAGTTCAAAAAATAAATAAATAAATAAAAAATGCAACGTCCATGGCGTTGGGGTACATCGTCGTTCTGACTTCATGTTGACGTCCTTCGCTTGCTGGGTGTTTAAGGCCAGTTTGGTCATCCTACAGTAAACATCCATCATCTTCTCATCAGTGACATGCATCTAAACAGTCTCCATCTCATTGCCTGTAAAGATTTTGGACATCTTCTTGGACACTTTTAATGCTTCCAAACAGTTTGCTGTAATTATAAATCGCCCATGTCTTGAGGTAGTTCATTATGATGAGATTTACCTTCTATGTACGATATGATTGGAATCATAGGACGGATTTCTTTAATCCCCATAGACAGTAAACAATAAAATTGTGACTGCAGGTTAAAGGAAAATAGTGGAGGAAAAGCACCGATACAGCACTAAAAATGTACTCAAGGGAAAGTAAAAGTAGGTCGTTTTAAAACGACCTATTAAATTGCAACTGTGAAAAACTACTCAATTACAGTAATCTGAGTATTTGTAATTAGTTACTTTACACCACTGGACTTTCAGTAATTTTTGAACAGTCACAACTTGTGTCACTGTGTGTATATTGTTTACCATGCTACTTTAAATATTCGGTATGAAATAGCATGCAAGTATGAATTCAAAACAACATTATCACTATTTTATCGACTGTAAACAATGCTGTACTATGATAGTCATTGGCTGCTAATATGATTTCCCCATTTACAGATGGCAAAGATGACTTTTCTGAAATGGTTATTAAAGAGAAAGTCAGAATGTGCGAATATAAAGCCAACTTTACCTCAATTGCTGCTCCCACGACCCGGGGATGAAAATGAATGAATGAATGAATAATAATTTCTATCTCTTTCTAGTACAATAATCTGAAGTCTGGTTCAAAACTTGTTTTAATTTTGGACATAGCAGTGTCAAAAGTTGTTAAAGAGGTGATTCTTGGAATCTAAATCCCTCTGTAATTCAGGAAATACTGTTAAAGTGTGAACACATAATTTTAAAGTTTGCTGTTTGTCAGTGCTGCTGAAGTTAAGATATATGGCTCAATGCAAAGAGAAATCAATGACCTTTAAAAATATGTATTACAAGTTCAACACTGAACATTCTGTCAGCATTCATGCACAATTTCCTTGTTCCTCTCCTGTTTCATTGTCTTTATTCTGTTGAAGAAGATCTTTTGAAGAAAGCTGAAAACCTGTAACTATTGACTACTATAAAACATGTACAATGGAAGTCAATGGTTTCAGGGTTTCATCTTTCACCAAAAGATCTTCTTTAGTGCTTTAGTTCAGCAGAATAAAGATGATGATGATTTTTTTTATTTAATGCCATGTCAGCAAACAAGGCTATTTTCATGAAAAGATCATTTTAGTAATAAACATACAATTAAAAACAACAAACAATTGAAAACATTAGTTAACTACGATTTTTAAATGACAAAAAAAAAAAAAAAAAAAAAAATATATATATATATATATATATATATATATATATATATATATATATATATACCCAAATATGACCCTTTTATTCATAATAGGGGCTCTTTAAAAGCAGTAGAATATGTTTAACTGAATACAGACACTTACAAAGGTTTGAAACTACTTGTAAATAGTGAGTAAATGTTCATTTCTTTGGGTGAACTATCCCTTTAAATCTACAGAAACAAACTGATCAATTAACCTATGATAAAACAAACACTTTAGAGTGTTTATTAAAGATATTTAAGAAGAGACAAACATCTAAAAATAAAAATGAGAGATGCATAAAACAGTTTTGCCTGCAGTGCCTTCCCTTATTTGTTGTTGCTTATTTTTAGACTATTATCTATGTACCATTTATTATGAGGCATACCCTATAATAAAACACATGCTTGGTATAAATGGGATTACGCAATTACCCTTCCAGCGAATTACACGTTATACCTGCCCTGAGAAACATCCAAAGGGAAAACAATCCTCGAAGGTGTGGTTTCACAAGAAATATTTAGGGGGGTTCAGATTCTAATAAATGAATCGATTCGTTCGAGCTGCACAATTAGCTGATACGTTTAAATAAATCAACGTTCAAAATACACAGTTTGCATTCGTTTAATTTAACATGTGAAATTAGGTTTCTTACCACAACACTTTTAATTATATCACGTCAAATCATGTGTATTTTTTTTCTACGATGTGCGAATCGATTCGTTTGAATCACTGAGCAAATCTACAAAAAGATTCGATAGGCGAGTCGTTTACCAGTCACCGCGACAACTATTGGAGAGTTTGGTGTACTCTGTGAATAGAGGCGACTTCATAATTAAAGATGGGACTCACGAGCATGGAGGCAGTCCTCTTCATGAGCACCATAAAGGAAGCAGACACTTGAAACTGTCGAGAGAGGAACACTTTGACATTGTGTTGCATAACATTGTGGTATTAAAATTCTGACATCAGTCCGCTGATGGTGAAGAGGAGGATGACCAAGAGAAGATGACAGGTGAGTTAAACTCGCATTATATGTTATTAAATCAACTTTAAATGATATATTTAGAATAATACACAAACAGTATAATAATAGTAATCTTTTTTTAATAACGCATGACTTAGCATAAATATACTTCTGAAATGTAATGATAATATTATAGTCATTAAAACGACGTGTAAGGACAATTATTTCCTATTTGTTTTTACATTAATTGATTTACTCTAAGATCTTCTGAATAATTGATCTAAAAGAAAACTAGACTTCGGACTTTACACTGTGGTGATAATCTTGAAAGTGACTTCAAGTTTCAATAATACAATAAAGTATAAAAATATGATGTAGCAGCCTACTTTTAGTGCAAACCTGGCTAAAACCAGCTACACTGCAAACTTGAAAGTAACTTCAAGTGTATGAATATTATTTCAATACCACATTAAAGAATAAAAACATGATGTAGCAGCCTTTTTTTTAGTACAAACCTGGTTAAAACCAACTACATTGCAACCTTGAAAGTAAATGTAAGGGAATTAATACTATTTTAATACCACATTAAAGTATAACAACATGATGTAGTAGCCTATTTTTAGCACAAACCTGTTTAAAACCAGCTACATTGCAGTCTCGAAAGTGACTTCAAATGTATGAATACTATTTCAATACAACATTAAATTATAAAAACATGATGTAGTAGCTTACTTTCAGTGCAAACTCGTTTAAAACCAGCTACATTGCAATCTTGAAAGTACATTCGAGTGTATACCATTTCAATGCCACATTAAAGTATAAAAACATGATGAAGCAGGCTATTTTTTGTACAAACCTGGTTTAAACCAGCTACATTGCAGTCTTGAAAGTGACTTCAGGTGTATGAATACTATTTCAATACCACAGTAAAGTATAAAAACATGACATAGCATATTTTTAGTACAAACCTGGTTAAAACCAGCTACATTGAAATCTTGAAAGTACATTCAAGTGTACGAATACTATTTCAATACCACATTAAAGTATAAAAACATGACATAGTGTTAGATTTTTAGTTCAAAGCTGGTTAAAACCAGCTACTTTGCATTTCCAGTTCATCTATTAGTTTCACAATAGGATAACCAAACCAGTCTAGCGCACAAAATTAGTTTTTTAAAAAATCATATTAATAATTCACAATGGCTTGCATGTGTGTTTTGTGTTTTTCATCGAGTGTCTATTCACAGCTGTCATTTGAATATTCTTAGTGACCAACTGTTTTCATTTCACTCGCTGAATTTTCCTTTGCATATGTTTTGCATACGAACCACGGACGAGACTGCTGGAAACAACAGACTTCTTGATAAAATAACGATGTTTGATTAAGTAGGGAAAAATAACATCATCACAATTTTTTTTATACTGAAATCCCCCCTTTTTTTGTAGTCTATTCACAGTTATTGCGTTTTAATATTTTAACATTCAATCAAAAGCAATATAAAATCATACAAGACAATGGTTGCTATAAACACAGCTCAAGAAACTCTATACTGTTGTCTGTGTATTAAACTTCCATGGAAATTATAAATAAATATTTAACCTAAAAGGCCAAAGGGGGATTTGTAAACTTAATTAAAACACAGCTCTTTCCTGGTTTAGTCAGCTATTGTTGGTCAACGGCTTAACTACATGAAATACTTAATTTCTAATGTTTTGATCAGTATTTTTAGCACCACATAGGACTCATAAAAACGCAAACACATGCAAAGAGTTTTTAGACAAATTTACTGCATACAACAATTCAGGTTGCGTGACCTGCAAATTTGCATTCCTAAGAGTTGCTCGAGCACAACAAACTGGCCTCTTGATTTGGTAATAAAGTTTGCCAAACAATATAGGTTTTAACATTTAGAATTGATTATATGTGTTTCATTTGCCAGCAAAACCAAATGTATTAATAATGCAGTTTGCTTTTAAAGTCATCAGGATGGCTGTAAGCACAGCTAGTGTTTTTCAACCAGCTTCCAGTGAAAGAGTAATGTGACTATTTTCAATTTCATAATGATTCTTTTACAGCATCGATGTTGTAATGTAGTTAAAATACAATCAGTTAAATAGACTTAAGCTTTCATTTAGTTGTTCAAGAGTGAAACAAGATGATCAGAAGCAGTAGGCTAGCACAGAAACTCCATTGAAAATACTGGGGGTGAAATTAATGTTCCTGTTTTAAAGAAATGTTGAGGGGGTTGATTTTAATGCAGTGCTTCTTGTACGATCTGAGACCCACTTTATATTGTATAGCAATCAAGCTGTGAAGATTGCTGATTATTAAAGAAATCAGATCTTAAACGTTGTGATTTTTTTAATGGAAATACAGTTCACCGGAAGTGCTTGGGTTGGCTGACTGAAAATTAAGGTTTACACTAATACATTTTAGTTTTAAAATCCATAAGTTTTGCTATGGTTACACCTTCTGTCCACACTAGCCCGGAGTTTACGAGCGCAGAAAACGAAGTGTTTTGAAAACGCTGAATAATAAACCATCCGGGAACCTTTGGCATACTCTTTTCAACATACTACGATTTGGGACACACTAATTCTATTTTCAAATACTATTTAGGATGGATAGTATGCGGATTGGAACGCAGCATGTGATCTATCCAGAAATGCTAGGTGAAACGCCAGCGTGGACATGGATCGTTTTCATTCTAAAATGCCGTTTTAAAGCTAAACCGTATTAGTGTAAACGAGTCCATGTGCATATACCTCATTGTTGATTTCTAAATGTGAATCTCTTTTTTTTGTCTCCAGCTGCTGCGTTCACACCAGAACTTACTCTGGGGCTCAACATCACCCAAAACCCTTGCAACAGAAGCCAGAACTGCGGGGAAAGTGAAGACTTCAAATACTTGGCGTACACCATTACATACAGCATCGTATTCCCGATTGGATTCATCAGCAACTCTGTGGCTCTGTATGTCTTCCTGTGTCGCACCCAGAGGAAGACGGCCAGTACTGTGTTTATGATTAACTTGGCCATTTCGGATGTCGGCTTCTCATTGACGTTGCCCTTCCGTCTGGTCTACTACTTTAAGGGCGCTTTGTGGGAATTCCCAGACTGGTTTTGCCGCTGGTGTGTGTTTTCCTTTTACCTCAACCTTTACACGAGCGTTTTGTTTCTTACAGGCCTCAGCGTGCTACGCTACCTAGCCGTGGTCCACCCCATGCGCAATAAGTCGCTGATCACTACACGACGAGCTGTCATAGGATGTTTAGTGATCTGGATTTTTGTGGCGCTCTTATCTACGCCGTTCCTCATGTCAGGTACTTTAAAACGGGATAACAAGACGCGCTGCTTTGAACCCAGAAACAGCAACTCGTGGAATCGCTTATTTATTTTGAACTATGTGGGGGTTTTGTTTGGATTCATCCTTCCGTTTATTACGATATTAGGCTGCTATGGAAGCATCGTCTTCAAACTCGTCAATGGACCGCAAAGTAAAATGGGAAATCGAAGGAACAAGGCAAAAACTCGGCGACGGGCCGTGTATTTGATTGCAGTTGTGCTGAGCACATTCCTCCTGTGTTTCCTACCATACCACGTCATCCGCACCGTCCATCTTCATGCCAAGGTCGTATGCAAGCCCTGCCAGGTCATCAAGTATCACCTACAAATCCTGGTCGTCTCCCTGTGCATGGCGGCATCCAACAGTTGCTTCAATCCTCTACTCTACTACTTTGCAGGGGAAACTTTCCGCACATCCTTCCGCAAAGGGTCTGTACGAGGGATAGCCAGTTCATTTGCTCGGAGTAGTTTTAACCCATCTTTTCGACGACGGAGCCAATCCGGCACCTTGCAGAGGACAAAGGAGCAAAGCATTACCTTAATACGCAGAGCCTCTTTTTGTCACGCAATAAAGAAAAAGACGCCTCACGATTGCATGTCTGAACAGAAATCCACACCGGCTGAAGAAAAGCGTTGAAGACGGCAGTGATGGGGAGTACTGAAAGACTATTGTGGTGGAACAAATCAGAGTGTACGGATGCTTTTGTTGACTTGAATAAAAGCATGTCTTTGTGTTCCATTTAAAACACAGAAATATGAAAGGAAAAATGGCTGCTGCTTTGATTATTTATGTTTTCAGCAAAGACTTTTAGCTCAAAGCAAGACTTGTTGAAATGCAGCATAAGCACAGCTAGTAGCTGCGTCCGATATTGCATACTTCCATACTAGATAGGAGCTAAAAACAGTATGCAAGTCGAGTAGTGTGTCTGAATTTATAGAATTTGAATAAGAGTATGCAAGAAGTATCCGCTTGACCGATACACTGCTCGATGCAGAGCCACTTGGGCTCCAGTGATGGGGAGCTTGAGCTCTGACTCCTCCTCCTATAAGCTGTTTTAATGCGTACAGCCACCCTACCCCTAACCCCAACCCCCAGTGACATCCCTTGTAGAAGAAGTGCAAAGAAGGAGGAGCTGGAGCTCAGCTCTGCCCAAGTGGCTCTGCAGTTAGTACCACTTGGGTTGACCTACTACTTCCGGTGAGATTCTGAAGTGCGAATCAGATGGACACTACCATTCAATGATGCACTGCGAAAGAATTCATGAATGGGAGTAAAGCGATGCAACTGATGCGGGTAGGTCACTTGATAACAAAATGTCGGATGTAGTAAATCCGAGTTCCATTCATACTACACTCTCAGAAATAAAGGTACTTGAGCTGTCACTGGGGTGGTACCTTTTTCGAAAAGGTACAAATTTGTACCTAAAAGTCCATAATAATACCTCAAGGGTACATATTAGTACCTAAAAATATGAAGAGGAACAGTTTTGTACTTTTTAGATGCTAATATGTACCCTTGAGGTATTAACATGGACCTTTTAGATACGAATTGGTACCTTTCGAAAAGGTACCACCCTAGTGACAGCTCACTTACCTTTATTTCTGAGAGTGTACTGACATTCATATTGCATAGAACATATCTTTCTAATGGCCGAGTAGTACGTTTGCATTTAAATGCAGTTTCTACTAAGTAGTTGGCGATTTCAGATGTAGCCAGTGTTTTTCACCCACCGATAAACTGCCGGTGAAAGGTTAACATAGACTGACCATGTTCCGTACACATTTTGCTATTCAGCACACTCAAATGACCCCTACTCCGTCATTGAATGCCAGATAAGCATGTTTGTGTGATCATTCTCTTGGTGAATACCTATTGCACAATCCAAATTTTGATCGATGTCTTTTGGACCAGTAGTTTTAGAGAAACGATGGGAAAAGTACCGCCTACGCATGTGTACGGAAGATGATAGCTATTACCGGTGTTCCATACACGATTAAAATACTGTATATCGCATAAAACTTCACCTAGCAAACTTACTGAATTGTCTCGGAAACATAAGGTAGTAGGGTCTCTATTGTGCTGCAGAGTGAGAAATAAAGATACACAGATATATAGCTTTTAGTATTTATTCAGAGATTATCGTTGAAAGGTAATCTGTACGGAACATCGTTGTGTACGGAGCATGGTTAGTCTACGTTAATATGACTATTTTCAGTTGTCAAAAAGGTTCCTTTTACAGCATCGATGTTGCAATGTAATCAAAATATAATCAATTGAGCAGATGTATTGCATTGATTCAGTGTAAAACAAGATGAAAAGCCGTTTAAATGCAAGTGCCATAAGGAGCAGCAGGCGATCACTGAAACTCCATTGAAAATACTGTGGTAAAATAAACTTTCATTTTTTAAAGACATGGTGCAAAACAGTGGAATTTAATGTAGTGCTTCTTGTACAGCCTGATACCCACATACCCTGATAGTGAAGATCATTGATGTTTGAGGAAATCAGATCATAAATGTTTGTTGCAATCGGTTTTCTCAAATGGTTTGAGTTACCTCAAAGTTTTTGGGTTTACAGTGTAGAAATAGTTTTACTGCAAATGTTTATTTCGCAATAAACACAATATGTTTACTAGTGCTGAAATCTAACAGTGACAACTGTCTTACGCTTTTTCCCATTATTACTTAACTGTAACTTAAAATCATGAGTAAAATGATGATTAAGAACAAATTTTAGAGTTAAAGCTAATGTCAATAAAAACAATAAAATCCATTATCCAAAATGAGCTATGGCTTAATGTATTTAAAGAATAGGAACAATATTTGATAATGTAATTTTTACTATTTTAATAACTATTTTACAACTAATAAAAACTTAGACACTTTAAAACTTTGACTCTTAGGTAAATAATTAAAATAATTATTATATTATAACTATACTGTAAAACCCAACGGTCAACTTTATAAAATGAAATGAGTGTAGTTAACTCAAAATTGACTGAAAGTTAATTCTACTCATTTGAAAAGAGTTTTTAACTCAGGGTTGAAGGTAATAAGTAAATTAAATACCTCATTACTTCAACGTAAATGGATTAAGTTCACAGTACTCATATAGATTAGATTTTGTAATTATTTTCCTCAAGCGGTTTGAGTTGCCCTAACTTATTGGGTTTTACTGTGCTCAAATGGATTAAGTTCACAGTACTCATTAAGATTATTTTTTGATGAATTATTGTCTTTTTGGGTTTACAGTGTACATATAGTTTTACTGCAACTGTTTATTTCCCAATAAACACAATATGTCTACTAGTGCTAAAATCTAATAGTGACAACCGTCTTATGCTTTTTTCCATTATTACTTAACTGTAACTTAAAATCCTGAATAAAATGATGATTAAAAACAAATTTAGAGTTAAAGCTAATGTCAATAAATACAATACAATCCATTACCCAAAATGAGCTATGGCTTAATATATTTTAATGCAGTTATTCCTATTTAATAACAAATTTACAACCAATACAATTGTTAAACTATATTGTTAGTTCTGCAAAACCATGGTGAATTGGTCGTTACCATGGTTTAACAATAAAACCATTTCATTTGTAGGAAAACCATGGATAATTCTCATAAGGGTGAGATGAGTAAAGCATATTTGCAAATAAACCATAAACATAGCTAAAACAAGATAAGACTAAATTAAATGAGAAACCCTAAATAAAGGCATAAATGAACAACACAGAGGAGCAGAGGAAACACGGTAATGGAAGTGTGCAGTCTCAGTGAATGTAGAGTCAGATTTAGATGTTCAGTTTCATCATAAACCAGATTGTTGAGGTTTGTTGTAGAGCAGTGTTTCTCAACCACGTTTCTGGAGACCACAAGTTCTGCACATTTTCTACACTGTAAAACCCAAAAAGTTGAGGTAACTCGAACCATTTGAGGAAACCGGTTGCAACAAACCATTTGAGCTCAAAAAATAATCTTAATGAGTACTGTGAACTTAATCCATTTGAGTAAACGAAGCAATTTGAGCACAGTAAAACCCAATAAATGAAGAGAACTCAAACCAACTGAGTACTGTAAAACCCAATAAATGAAGAGAACTCAAACCAACTGAGTACTGTAAAACCCAATAAATGAAGAGAACACAAACCAACTGAGTACTGTAAAACCCAGTAAATGAAGAGAACTCAAACTGTTTGAGGAAACCGACTGCAACAAACCATTTGAGTTAAAAAAAAATCTATATGAGTACTTACTCCATTAAGTTGAAGTAATGAGGTATTTAAGGAACTCATTACCTTCAACACTGAGTTTAAAACTCTTTTCAAATGAGTGGAATTAACTTTCAGTACATTTTGAGTTAACTACACTCATTTCATTTGATAAAGTTGACTGTTGGGTTTTACAGTGTATGTCTCCTTAACCAAACAATCCTCATCAACTCATTAGCAGACATTAAAAGACATGTAATAGATGTGACAGACCAACACAATCTCACGGCAATTCGTAACTTTTTCATTTAGTGGCTAATTCGTACAAATTCGTACGATCTAATTCGTACATTTTAGTACGATTTGCGTATCCCCCAATGACGGTTGGGTTTAGGGGTGGGGTTAGGTGCCACGGCTCCTTTTTAAAATCATACATTTTCTTACCACTGAACTCGTACGAATTCGTACAAATTAGCCACTAAACTGCCAAAACGTAAAATACTTACGTTTTCTCGTGAGATCAGGCTGGACAGACAGAGGAGACATCCAAATCCCTCCAGGAACGTATTTGAGAAACTACTTGTAGAAGATATTTGATAGTAACAGTTTTTTTTTATTTTGAAGGACATTTCTTAGGAAAATCACTGAATTAGGGCACTGGAATAAAAAAAATCTGCAGATAGAATTGAAAATAAATACTTAGAAATCTCTCAAATATTGCAGATGTCTGTGATTAAAAGTCAGAGATTACAGATTGAACTCCCACCTATCATAATAAGCTTCTAAGACTAATTTATCTAATCTATAATGTCTTAAAGGGGACCTATTATGCCTCTGTTTTACAAGATGTAAAAATAAGTATCCATATGTGAAGTTTCAGCTCTTAATACTCTATTAATCATTAGTTATAGCTCTTTGAAACTGCCTCTTTTAAATTGTGGCAATTTGGCGACTGTCACTTTAAATTCAAATGAGATTGTGCTCTTTTCAAAAGAGGGCGGAGCTACAAATGCCTGTGTGTCAGCATAGTGGCAGAATCAAAAACAAAATTCACTTCTTATGCTAATGAGGGAGAGATGGTCACTAGTGGGTGGGGCTTTCCCCCTTTTATGACACGTACAAAGAGAGAGTGTCAATCAAAGTGTTTCTGCAGACTGTTTTTATCAAATGTGATTATAAAAAATAAAATTAATACATTTTTATAATTAAAAGCTGTTATATTCATACTTTTGCCACACAACTTAAGGCTGATTTATACTTCTGCGTTAAGCGCTCATGTCCGATGCAGCCTTCGCGTCGTCGCATACCCCTTGCCGTGACTAATGCTGACGTGCACCTCTCAAAAAGTGACGCAACGACGTGTAGTGCGAGCTTTGTGTTTGGGCGGCTTGGTATTGACCTTATTCTAAAATGCGGAAGTGCGCCTGTTTTCGCGATTGTCTTAGAACTTCCATTTCAGTCGCCTATGGGAGAAATGAAAAGGAATAATAAACGGCAAAAAACGAATTTTCGAAAAACGAAACGTTTGTTCGGCAAAACAAACAAATGTTTGCATGACTATACAGACCAAGTAGAATAATATAACAAGGAAATATCAGTTTGCAACATCAAACAGCGAAACGAGCAGTTTTTAATGTCTAAAAATGAATGGAAGTGAATGAGACCGGAAGTCTCGTGCCAAAAAGATTCAAATGGCAGCGCCCGCTCGTCTGTGGGGAATAAGGTCAATAGGTGACGAATGTGGGCGGTGCTGAAAGCCGCGAGCCCAATGGAGCGAGTGTTTACAAGCGTGGAGTTCCATGAAGAAAACATGGGAAATGCTTGCTGGGCAGCCTTTACAAAAGTGACTTTCGCATTATAGATCCCCTTTAACGAAT